CTGGTGAGTATTTGCTTCAGGTTGGGGGGTTGTCTGTAAGCTAGGAGTGGCCTGCCCCCCAAGGTCTGTGAGAGTGAGGGATCATTTTCCAGGTTAGGTTGTAGATCGTGGATAATGGGCTGGAGAGGTTTTAGCTGGGGGCTGTATGTGATGAATGGTAACATTCAGAAACAGACTTCAAAGAGAAATAGCAGAACTAAAATTCATTTGCAAATATAACACCATTAATCTGGGCTTGAATAGGGACTCGGAGTGGCTGGCTCATTACAGAAGCAGCTTTTCCTCTCCTGGAATTGACACCACCTCATCCATTATTGGGAGTGGACTACATCCACCCTGATTGAATTGGCCCTGTCAACACTGGTTCTCCACTTGCGAAGTAACTCCCTGCTCTCCATGTGTCAGTATATAATGCCTGCATCTGTAACTTTCACTCTATGCAACCGAAGAAGTGAGGTTTTTACCCACGAAAGCTTATACCCAAATAAATCTGTTAGTCTTTAAGGTGCCACCAGACTCCTTGTTGTTTATGCAATGGCAGGGAAATGATTACGTGAGATTCCATGTCTATTATACATATGGATGTATTGAACACAGTGACCAAGTTACAGGGGAGAATTCAGAGAGCCACAATGAAATACACAACTGAGGCTGATAATCAGAATGGAAATAGAAGCCTTTTATAAAAATCATCTGAACAGTCAAATCTCTCTTTCTGTCTCTCTCACACATGCACACACACAATGTTGGGCTTCCCCTCGCTAACTGTTGTCTTTGGCCCATCTAGCCAATTGGTTAATGGATGCACATGCCATAAGGTCATCCCTTAGGAGACATAAGAGTGTGGGGGTTTGGACATTGTTATCTGCAGACATTTGCAGAGGGAGGGAGCAGAAGGGAAGAGGTATTGAGCTTGGAGACTTGTGGAGTATTTTCTTACCTTGAAATGTTATCACATGTTTCAATTTGACACAGGACACCAGAGCAGAACACCCCAAAAGTTTGGATTCTAATTTGTACTTCACAGCCCTCCCCTCCCTCCCCCCGCCCCACACACACCTCTGTATATAAAGCCAAAACAAAAGCCCTGGCTCCAAACATCCCTAAACTTTGAAAATGTTCTGTTCTGGATCTCAAGTAAAAACTTGTCACCCAATCATAGGTAGTATTCATTAAGGGTTCTGTAATCAGTTGTGTAGCAAATTAAACCACGTTCCATATATCCCCAAAAAATAAAAATAGGGAAACGGGTGAATTAGGAGTTCACACCACCCACCCCTACAGCATACTGGGGTCTTAAAAATCAAGGGGAAAATTTATTAGATGTGTCTGGAAAACAAGAAAACATCTTCCCTGGGCAGCTTCAAATGCCAGAAATCTCCCAGTTTTCAACAAGTATTCCTGCTCTTTGATCATACTTCCATATAGATTTATAGCTCATCTGCACTGCAACCATGCTCCTTGTAATTAGAGAGATAAAAGCGGGGAGAATTAAAGGGGTGGGAAAACAATTCTGCACTATGTTGGCCACAGTTGGTGCCCAGATCTTTGGGCTGCTTGCTTTAAAATACAAGTTGTTGCTGAGGTTTGATTTAAGAATCCTGTCAGTTTTGACATTCGGGTGGAAGAACTGCTGCTGGCTCCTGAACAATCTGCATATCGTATTACTAAATAAAATGTCTGAGGTGTATGTGAAGAAATTATAAGCGAGAGTTCATACACTCCATACCACACTTATGCACACACTCCATACCCCCCCACACACACATCGGTTGGATCTCCTGTCTCTCTTCCACCTGCAATGTAATCTGCACCTTACTTCTCCGTAATTAATTATATGACCCATCCTTTTCTAGCTGGAAGGTTTAACCGTGCTTGTAAGGAGAAAAATGATAACAGTCCATTCTTCTTCATGCCTTACAGTTAAGGACCTACCAAAACTGTGGATTTTTGTGGATAAATAGAAATGCAAATTTTGCTTCTCTCAAACTGCCAGATGATTGGGGAAGATCCCATAAACTTAACACATTTTAATAAATATTTTCCTACACTTTCAGCAAAAAAAGAAATTAAAAACTATGTCTCCAATCCTGCAAACACTCAAATGCTTGCTTAACTTTAAGCACTGTGATTAGTCTTATTGAGTTAAATAGGACAACTCACTCTGCCTAAAGAGAAGCACATGTGTAAGACTTTGCAACAAATTTTGTTAGCAACAATTAAATACATAGGACTAGAATGAGTCTTTAGGCACAGTCTTGCATAAGTGGTGAGGAGCAGATGCAACCACCCCACGGGGAGCTCAGGAAAAGAATTATCTTTCAAAGTGTAAATTCCCTGCCTTGTTCCTGGGGAAAGTAACTCACTACAGCAATTTAACAGATTATCAGCTTCTTCCATGGACCAGCCACCAAAGGTGGGAGAAGAAATGTAGGGTCCCCCCATTTCCCATTCCCTTCCTGATCCTTTCTTGACAAAACACACCAACCACACAGACCTGGCTCTCCCTCTCTATACCATCTACAGCCAAGATGTACAAGAGTCAGGGTTAGGGTTGCCAACTTTCTAATTGCACAAAACCGAACACCCTTGTCCTGCCCCCTGCCCTGAGGCCCTGCCTCTGCTCCAACCCTTCTCTGATGCCCCACCCCCCACTCACTCCAGCCCCCCTCCCTCAGTCGCTCGCTCGCCCCCACCCTCACTCACTTTCTTCACTGGACTGGGGCAGGGTGGGTGGGATGATGCGGGAGGAGGTGAGGGCTCCAGATAGGGGTGCAGGCTCCAGAGTGGGGCCTGCAATGAGTGGTTCAGGGTGCAGGAGGGGGCTCTGGGCTGGGGCAGGGGGTTGGGACGCAGGAGGGGGTGTGGGCTCCGGGAGCAGGCTCAGGGCTGGGGCAGAGGGTTGGCGTGCAGGAGGGGATGTGGGGTGCAGGCTCCAGGAGGGAGTTTGGGTGCAGGAGAGGGCTCAAGGCTGGGGCAGGGAATTGGGGTGCAGGATGGGGTGTGGGGTGTGGGCTCCGGGAGGAAATTCGGGTGTGGGAGGGGGTTCTGACCCGGGGCAGGGGGTTCGGGATGTGGGCTCCCGATGGAGGAGTGGCCAGGCAGCTCTGCACAGTGCAGGCTGCCTGCCCCCACAGGCACCGCCCTCGCAGCTCCCATTGGCTGCAGAGGCGGCACTCAGGGTGGGGGCAGGGCGTGGAGCTTCCCTGATCTCACCTGCACCTAGGGGCTGCAGGGACATGCCGGTCGCTCCTGGGAGTGGTGCTGACCAGAGCTGCCAGGGCCCCTTTTTGACTGGGCATTCTGGTCAAAAATTGGATGCTTGGCAACCCTAGTCGCGGGGGGGAGGGGAGGAAGTGGGTCTTCCCCCTATTTATGATCCTATGCCACAATGCAATACCAGGCCACAAGTCTGGCCCTTACTTCTAAAACAGTGGAAATGTATGCTGCAAATGCTAATTACAGCAGGGCAAATGACTGATAATTTAAGAGAGAGAAGGTAGGTGAGGTAATATATTTTATTGGACCAACTTCTGTTGGTGGAAGTGACAAGCTTTCAAGCTTCACAGAGCATTTCTTCAGGTCTGGGAAAGGTAACCAGAGTGTTACAGCTAGCAGTATAGTTAGATAATTCCTGAATTATCTATGCATTATTCTCTTAAATTTGTTATTGAAAATTATTTGAATAATTTTTAGTCTGTATCTCATTGGTGAGCAGATCGTTACGAACACTTACATTAGAAAGACAAGATGTTTTTACTGGGCAATAAATCATATGTTTCTGTTTTCGGACAGGATGAGTAGCTCTCAGCATCTTGTTTCAAGAGCAAATACTTATGAATGATAATTCAAAAGTTGCTTTCTGTGAATATTCTCTAATATTTTCTTAATATATGCTGTTTTCACAGACAGACCTGCTTGTAAATTTGTTCACTCAAATATTTGTTAAAAAGGACAGGAACACTGCAAAACTACATTGTGTTTACGAAGTTCACATTTTAATAAGTAGGAAGATTATCAATTTTTAATATTGCCAGTGCTTTGTTATACACAGTAGTAAAATGACTGAATATTTTAATTAGTTGTTTAGACCTTATTCACTCCTCAGTTAGGCAAAATTCTTACTGAAGGATTCTTGACTGAAAAAGGAGATGCAGCATTTGTCTCACTGAATTAATAAAACTTAAATATATACATATATATTATTATTGCACCATGATCAATCTTTAATACTTCTGAAAATCCCACTGAATTCCTAATATTTGTGAACTTGTATTGCGTAAATTATATACATTAATGTTTATGGTGGTTTCCAATTTATAATCTGTTCTTGCATAATTTCTGCCAAAATTTGCAGAAGTTTCCAAAAAGTTATTGTAATTTTTTTATTCTCTTTCTCCTGCCCCAGCATCCCTCCTGTTCTTCAAAGTTCTCATTTTTGAGCTCTCTAAAAACATCAGCCTGAGTGTGCTAAGTAAATAGCATTTTCAAGTAGATACAATGTGTACCTTTAAATATCTAGAAAATGTTGCTTAATGTTACCTTTTCTCTTCCGACTCCAAAGGGTTAAGAGCAGCTCCTAACACTTCTCTTTTATGCTGCTGTAAAGAAAAGAAATGCTTATATTTAGGGATTTACTCAGACAACACCTTGAGTTTTCATAACGTGCACATGACTCAGTGTTCAGTTGGAGAAGTAGGTGGCTCACTGTGTATATATCAACATATATCCATCTGTTGGAATAAGACAAAACAAAGTCCCACACATTCACATTCAGTATGCAGGTGAAGAACATGTAAATAAGAAGCACTAGTAATGAAAACATCACACCACACATGTACTTTATAGGGAAAAAGTTGCACATGAATACCATATTATGTAGGCATTAACAGAGACTCCAAGGCTACAAATCCCTTCACTTTTTTTTTTTTTAAGTGGGGTTTTATCATCATTAGGGACAAAACAAATGCTTGTCATAACCAAAATTATACCACTTACTCTTGCCTTTCAGAAGCATTTTTGGGAAAAGTTACAAGTAAATACTTTTAATAGTTCAGGAGTTAAAAACATCACGCATTTTCAAAATTGAAGAACTGGAGTCTAATGTTTTATAATTATACATATATAATTTATAAAAGACTTTGTTTTAACCTTGAAACTTTAAGATATCTAGATAGCATCAAAGTTGTTAGTATTACTTATCATAATGGCCAAAATTTTCAAAACTGGGTGCCAAAAACTAGGGGTAGATTTTCAAAGGCACAAATGAGAATTACACACACAACTCACAATGACTTGCAATGGGAGTTAGGTCCCTAACTGTCCTTGAAAATTTCCCCCCAAGTTCCTAAATCAATATTGAGGCATCTAAATAAAAGTGGCCCAATTTTCAGATGTGCTCAGAACTCATCACTCCAAGCAAGGTAATAATTTTCCATTGCCCAAACACCTGAGACTCTTCAGAGGAGTCCAATGGGGCTGCTTAGCCTAGTATTACAGTCCTGCCATTTAGAAGTTACTACATTCAAGTTCTGAGAATTTTATTTGTCTTAAATTTTTGTTAGTAATAATCCTCCCAAAATGTTATGTCAGCAAAAATTCACACAGCCCATGGAAAGAACCTTCAGTATGACAGAGCTATAGGATTAGCACAAAGCTGAGTAACCCCATTATGATTCACTGAAGATTCTCATATCCTTTTTGGAGGGAAAAATCAGGGGGAAGGGTTGGCAAGTCCAACACATCCACCTTACTAACAACCTGATTACAGCACTAGAGTTTTTCATCATGGTAGGAAGGCATGGGAACGCACAACTGGTTCCCAACTAGTATAAAACAGTTATATTCATGGCCAGCTTATAAACAACAGTAACCATGCAACTGCACACACAAAATGTGTGAAAAGTCATATTGGACATTCCAACTACAACCTTAACTCTGGCTGGATCCTAACTGCTCAAACTTTGCAAAGGTTTGGATCTAGATCTGGATCTCAACTTTTCTTCCCTGTTCCATCTGCAGCAGAAACTTCTTATAACTACAAAAGTGATGTGTTAGGTTTGTAGACAGAGTTAAGGCTGGTATTAGACTGTGCTGTATGAATTTTCTCATAAACAGATGGAGTATTACAGTCTTTACTTACACTACATCTTAACTGATCAATGCTTATATTTTATTAATGGTAAACATCCTTGCTATATAGTTTTTGTAATTGCTATTTTAATTGACAACCTAAGTTTACATTAACAAAACTTTATGTTTGTGATGAACACTGAGTATTTAAGATACTGAGACACAAAGTCCTACTGAAATTGCAAGGAGTTCAAAGTCACAAGCCTTTGGCTAGATTTTCAGTGCCAGCCCTAACTTCTGCGATTTTTTTTTTACCCACAATTAATTTTTCTCATATTCCTGTGCCCACAGTTAATTGCTGGTACAAATCTTGCCATTTACATACCTCAGTACCTAATAGCACCCACAAAATGTTAAATGGGGATGCAAAAAGGTGAGTAATATTTAGGGGATCAGGTCGAGTCTCCTTTCAAAATCAAGTCCCATATAGCAATCAAAAGTTAATTTTCAGTAGATTTTGCAATGCTGTCTCATGTTTGACTTACTTAGGGTTACCATTCGTCCAGATTCTGCCGGACATGTCCGGCTTTTTTGAGTTAAAAATAGCATCCAGGGGGAATTTGTAAATGTCCGGACTTTCCCCCCATGCAGAGCGTGCGCGGCTGACAGGGCAGCCGGATGGATCCTGCCACTCGCACGGGGCTCTGGCAGCCAGAGCCCCTCCTCCGCTTCCCCCTCCTCTCCCCTGCAGCTTGAAATCACTCCCCTCCTCTCCCTGCATTCGCAGATCGCCGGCCGGCCGTTCGCATCGGGCCTCCGGCAGTCTGGAGCTCCTCCCCTGGCTTCCCCTCCCCTGCTGCCCAGCGCATCACTCCGCAGCACTCTGTTCTGAGCGGCACGGTAAGGGGGCCAGGGGGTCGGAGAAGGGGCAGGGAGGTTCTGGAGGGGGCAGTCAAGAGACAGGGAGCAGGGTTGGATGGGTCGG